AGAGAGAGAGAGAGAGAGTATGCAACTCACTGAGGCCAAAGATTTTTGGAATACAAAATTTCTCTTTTCGCCCCAATTTTCTTTGTACGTGTGTGTGATTGATCAGGACAATAAAAAAAACCAAAGATTCCTTGTATTTTTTTAACAATCCATACAATTATTGACTTTATTTTTTGAGTGAAGTTAACGAACAATTATTGACTTTATTATAACATAATATATTTTATTATATGTATAACAGATAGTTCGTGTCTGTTATGCTTACATGTGGTTCACTCATATACCGGATGAACATGGCAGGGGATGTCTTGTGATCAAACTGCAGTCGTATTCTTTTATACTTTTTTAGTGTCCCCTGTGTCTAGAAGTTTGAACTCGTCCTGTAGCATCTGTTGACCAGTGAAATGGCAACAAGAATGGAGTTTCTGGGTAATGTAGCATCTATAAATGTTAGATTGATTGAATTGCAAAGTACGCTGTAGGCTTCTTTCTTTCATTGTATTGACTGATCATGGAATGGTTGTGTTCCATTAATATCATGGAAAATGTAACATTTGCATGTGACACTGTATATCTTTGTGCAAGTTTAGTTTGTTTAAACTAATTAAGTTTATTTTTAATTTTTCTGATAAGCAGCTTCGTCGAATATGCAAGATCTCTGGTGCTAAGGTGTCTATTAAAACAGAAAATTCACGAGATTCCTTGTACCGCATCACAGTTGATTTTGTGTTAAACATGTGCAATAGGTGACTGTTATTGAATGACATTTTAGTAATCACTATTATCTATATGTCTGCCTCACTTTGCTATTAAATCCTGTTTTATTCCCTTGAGAATATGTTTTAGATGGCTATAATGGAAGATTTATTTTGTTTGCTTTGCTTTACTTTAGTACTAAACTTTTGCATGGGTTTGGGACTTTGGAAAATGTATTCAGCTCGTTGCTTCACCCAACCTTTGTTCAAATTGATGGTGAGAAGGGCCCGCAATTTCTTGCGGGATTTGCTAAAAACATAGGTCTTGAGGAAACTCGTGCTGCAAGAATGGTTTGCGCTGCTGTTGCGGCATTCACTCGGTCCAAAGTTTTGCAGGCTTGGGTGGGTATTATTATGTCTATATTGTGAAATTTAGTGTTATACAAGCCACGAAGTAGACCAATTTCCGGCTTTTGAGGTTTTCTCTATGATTTAATTTGATGTTTGGCACTAATCCAGTTTTCCTGTTATTGCTCATTATTGGAATCTGTTTGTTTTGATGCATTAGCAAGGATTTATTATTATTTATATTCAAAAGGACTTGACAATATTGAGGCATTTCATTAGCATCAATTTATACAAATATAATCACATCCTTGCTTCACTGTTACTGAATTTTAAGGGAGATTGACATTTGCTAAATGGTTTAGCAGCTAGCTTTGGTCAAGAATACCTGTACATCTTCTAATTTTAATACAACCGTTTAGGGTTATAAAGACTGAACCTGACTTCAAATTGGCCAGGGTCCAGTCTTGGTCCAAATCTGTCTGACCGGTGTCCTACTGGCAAGGCCAATTTAAATTAAAAGTAAAAAAGTAAGAAAAATTGTGAAAAATTTATGAATTCTTATGTTCCCTAGTTCATCTGGTATAGTAGGTTTGGTCCCATTTTTTACCATCTTCCCCATCCTTTTGGTTTCAGTATGAAACCTGTTTTGGGCCTGGTTCTGAGTCCAATCCATTTGGTTTGCACTAATCTTTTTAAGACTGCATTAATTATCTATATAATTGTTATTAGCTTACTTAGGTAATAGTTGCAACTGCAAGGTTTTGGCCTCGATTTGCTCATGTTTTTCAAATAACTTAAAGAAGACAAAAAGGTATCCAGCCATATAATTTCTTGCGTTGAAATTTTCATTGAATGCGTTGACTTTCTTTTGTAGGAGTTCCACATCAAGGTCTTCTGGGCCTTAGAATTTGTTTCTGTACTTCTTTTGAAATAGCTAAAGTTGACCTTGTTCTTTGGTTGTAGGCTTTGGAAATTCAAGGAAAAAGATCTGAGGCTTTAGAGGAACTATCAAAGATCTGTATTGTTCATCAAATTTTCCCTCCAGAAGATGATTCTGTATGTTTGTCAGTTCTACACTTTCGTTTGTTAAAAGATTGACTTTTTCTCTTCTTATTAAGTGATGCTTCTCTTGCAAACTGCATTTAGATTATTCTTCATCCATTAAATTTCCATGCATGAATCTTATCTGATTGTACATATCAAAATAGATGTTTTACAGGAAAAAGAAGGTCCATGATGCAACCATGGATGTTTTGCATTAACATCGTTGTGAATTTATTATGTTCAGCCAGAAATGGAGATGTTATCTCAAGGCCTTGAGAAACATTTGAAAGTGGAGCAAAGAGAAAGATTATTCAAATTGTTTGTTAAAGTGTGTGGTTCTCAAAGCCAAACAATTGCTGAAGTTCTCCGCCTGGTAATCAGCTGTGTCTCTGTCTGTGTCATTGCATATAATTGCATGCATGTCTTTGTCCAGTGTACATGCACTGGGGGAACTATGAGAAATTTAATTTTTACACATACAATTAATACAACAAAAAACGTCACTTCTTATATTCCTCTAAAATTTCTTGAGATTCCCTTCAGAAAAATAAAAAAAAATTGCATGACACTTGCACCATGGTTCTTAAATTGTTTGTTAAAGTGTGTGGTTCTCAGAGCCAAACAATTGCAGAAGTTCTCCGCCTGGTAATCAAGCTGTCTCTGTCTGTGTTGCATATACTTGCATGCATGTCTTTGTACGGTGTACATCCACTGGGGGAACTATGAGAAATTTAATTTTTACAGATGCAATTAATCCAACAAAAAAATGTTATCTAAAATTTCTTGAGATTCCCTTCAGAAAAATAATAAAAAATTGCATGAAACTTGCACCATAGTCCTACCTGGATGCATCGACAGATAACCTGTTGACATGTACCCACTTTTGTGTTTTAAGTACTTGTCTTTTTGTTGTCATTCAGTGTTTCAAGGATGCGTTTTGCGGTCATCATTGTCGGAAATAGTCTAATTTATTGATGAGAATATTTCTGAGGGGTTTCACCTCTCAAAGATGTGCCATTTTTCTTTTGTTTTTGAGATTTCAAGTCACACAATCCATTGGTTCACTTGTAAATAAAACCAGCCAAATTTTTGAGTTACTGCACATTTGGATGTGGCATCATGAGACTCGATCTTGTTTCCTAAGCAGAAACCAAGTGGGCTCTCCTGTTGTGAGGATTCATAAAGGCTTTCCATGTGACGATGTCTATTCTCAACGAGGTTCTTTGACAAACTTGGGTTTTTGAGCAAGAGCACAAAATCAAAGATGGGAATCTGACTTCAAGTTTAGAGCTCTCCTTTTGGTAGTTCTCTCTCGCATTTTTGAGCAAGAGCACAAAATCAAAAATGGGAATTTGCCTTCAAGTTTAGAGCGCTCCTAGTGGTTCTCTCTCGCTCTCTCTCTCTCTCTCTCTCT